TTACTTAGCTGAGGGAGCAACACACCCAGTTCTCAATCGAGAGGGGGGCTCGGACCTACATCATGTTCCAATGCTGGAACTGCTAGCAGTAAGTTACCTGGCTGAGGGAGCATAGACCCAGCTCTCAACGAGAGAGGGGGCTCGCACAGCATGATCATTAGAAATCAGAGGGTACGCATACTGCAAGCTAGCCAAAAAACTAGCGCATCAGAGAGGCAGAGTGAAGGGCCTATGCTCACCTGATACTGCTGGTTCCAGGTGCTCTGGGAAAAAAACAGAGAACTCAACTCTCACGTGAGAGGAGAACTCCAAATTCAGAAAGAATAGCGCGCTCATAGGCAACCCTTTGGTAAAAAGGGGAGCACTGCTAATATTACCACAAGAGCAGCCCACGGAGCGAACCCGGGTGCTCGATAGGAAGCAGCATGCTCATAGTAACCCTCAATGGTGAGGGGAGCGATACTTCCAAGTGTGTCAATTAGAGACACACTGGTTGAGTGGAGCCCAAGGTACCGAGGTCTAACCAAAGGGAACAGAGTTATAATGCGTAACCTTTACCATACAGGATTTCAGAAAGTGCGCAAAGTCTAGCGTGCACACTTACCACTTATGTGGATTTTAGAAAGTGAGCAAAGTGCTCAGCGTGTACACTTACCACTACTGTGGATTTTAGAAAGTGAGCAAAGTGTTCAACGTGCACACTTACCACTATTTGGATTTCAGAAAGTGCACAGAGCTTAGTGTGTGCACTTACCATAGCATGGATTAACATTCCAAGCATCTGATCACAGATACTCGGAGGTACTGAGCCAAAACGGGAGAGGCAAGCTCAAATATGACCCTCTAAAGCGCGGGGAGCACTGCCTGAGACAGCATACACAAGAAGGTTCTCGCAAATGCCACCTATACTTCCCGCTCGATGCCTCAGCAAGAGGGGCTATCCTGGAGCCTGGACATCCAGGAATTTTTTGCAGTTTCGTGCCGGGGGCCTGATGATTAAGAAGGCTCCCGCAGTAGCCTCTGACCTGGCCGCATAATCCAGGAAGCATGAAGCCGGAACCAGGGCTATCATACCGGCTGGTCATAATGTCGACGAGTGAGGTAACACTGCAAGTCGAGCACCTGGTTTCTGAATCCAGCAAAGGAATCGCTGAGCCTTGTCTGGATCACATCCCTAAGGTCTTGCCTACCTCCCCTTGACCCGCGATTCCTCCTACCCCTACCCGCAGGCGGAGGAGGAGGAGGAGGAGTGAGAGCCGCTACACTAGCCTTCTGTGCCCGTCTCTGATCCTCAGACCGAGACGGACCAGGACCCCTATGTTGTTTGGGCTCAGACCTGGACCTTCGTGGAATGAAGGATTTGAAGGCCGCTGAGCGCACCTTCGCCTCCCTGAACGTCTCGACCGTCTCAATGGAGGAACCGAAAAGTTCGGAAGGCGAAACCGGAGCATCGAGAAGAAAGCCCCTCTCTTTCTTCCCGATATCTGTCAGGTTCACCCACAGATGTCTCTCCGTTACTACCATTGCTGCCATAGACCTGCCCATAGCACAGGCGGCCTGCTTAGTAGCACGGAGAGCAAGATCCGTGGTGCAGCGCAGCTCAGCTGCCTCATCAGGAGAAAGGCCCTCGCCTTTATCCAGGTCTTTCAGCAGATCAGCCTGATACGCCTGGAGCACCGCCATAGTGTGCAACGAAGCCACAGCCTGACCTGCTGCTGCGTATGCCCTGCCATTTAAGCGCGATGTATCCTGAAGGGGCTTAGATGGCAAGGAGGGAGTATTAAGGGAGGACATAGAGAGATAGCTAGCCAGCGTCTCTTCTACAGGGGGCATCCTCTCATAGCCGTTTTCACGCATCGCCTTGATGTTGGCATAACTCGTATGCTGGAACCGATAGATGCATGAGGAAAACAGCCTCTTTCATTCCTTCTCGATCTCAATATGCAAATCAGGAAGAAATGGAAGGCTCACCTGAGCTGGAGGGTTATGGCCAGAAAGAAAACGCTCATCGAGGCGACCTCGCGACGTCACTTTCTTGGCCCGCTTCCACGGCAAGTCCAGCCTCGCCGTGGCACGATCCATAACTTCCAACAGCTCATCATACGCAGGACAGGAGGATTGGGAAGGCTCAGCCTCTTCACCGTCCTCAGACATCTCCTGCTCCTCCTGGGCTGAACCCAGCAGAGCACTGGCCCCCGGATCAGACGGCAGGTCCACCTGCGATCCCCACGAGCTCATTCTCCTCCGTGCCTCAGCAGCAGCGGGTCCTGAACCACGGGAAGCAGATGGCTGCCCCTCTTTGCTCGAAAAAAGAGACAAACGAGAGCGGAGCTTTTTCATCGAAAAACGGCCACAATGCAAGCAAATTGCCCCCTCAAGGACATCTCGTATGTGCTCCTCGCCCAAACAAAGAACACAGAGATCGTGTGTGCCATCAGGTGTCAAATAGCGACGACACGTATGCACACATCCTCTAAACGTTCTGCTAGTGCTCGCCATAATAATAGGATAGAGATCGCTCTTACCACGTTCAAATGCACGCTTCAAACAAAACAGTAATTGAAGACGAAGAAGAGAATGACATGTTCTCCCGGTGCCTATTTATACTAATAGTCGCACCGGTAGTGACGTCATGGGCTGTTGCCGGCCAACGTGTTGTTAGTGTTTTTTCATTGTATGCTTCAGACACGGGTCACGACGAGGCGTTCCCCATAGCGCCCCCTAGAGGACGCAGTTCGAAGTTCCCTTGAAAGGGAACACATGCATATATGTATGAGGATTTATAGATCACTTTAATTTCACACAGAGAAACAGTCTATCCAGGAGATAGACAAATTTGGGTTTGCAGTGTGGAAAGTGTGCTGCACTTCATGGAAATTACACCAAGAGAGGATTTTTCAGAAGTGATGTTTCATGTTTTTGTGATGCACATCAAAATGTATTAGGCAGATTCCACTATCAAATTCGGATGCCCTGTTCTGCCTACTGTGGCATGATATTATATAAAAGTGTATGCAGACTTCAGAATGGCAAACTTGTGAAAGTCGTTGAGTGCTTTGGTCCCCAAAGCATTCATGCGTGTAAATGCTACTCAAAAGAGGCACTGAATTGTTTTCCCAACTCCTAAAAACCCTCAATCCCTATGCTGACTTAAGAGCATCTCAGGAAAAGATGTGTTAGGAGAACTGGTTGAAATGGATTGCAACACGGATAATGTCTAGACATGTCATTTACTTCATTACATGACATTACATGACATTGCAGGTTGCTTGTCTTTTAGCATATCGCTGGGGTGGAATTCCATATGCGTGCGAGAAAGCAATTATTTATTTATTTTTTATTATATATATTATATATATACAGTGGGTACGGAAAGTATTCAGACCCCCTTAAATTTTTCACTCTTTGTTATATTGCAGCCATTTGCTAAAATCATTTAAGTAAATTTTTTTCCTCATTAATGTACACACAGCACCCCATATTGACAGAAAAACACAGAATAGTTGACATTTTTGCAGATTTATTAAAAAAGAAAAACTGAAATATCACATGGTCCTAAGTATTCAGACCCTTTGCTGTGACACTCATATATTTAACTCAGGGGCTGTCCATTTCTTCTGATCATCCTGGAGATGGTTCTACACCTTCATTTGAGTCAAGCTGTGTTTGATTATACTGATTGGACTTGATAAGGAAAGCCACACACCTGTCATAGCTAATGCTATTAATTATTCATACATTCATTCTTTTTTTTTTCATGCTGCACATTGGTATGGAAGGCCATTTCTGCTACGGAATCAAAAAAAAATCTCACAATTTCTGGAAAATTTGGCATTGGCATTAGTATATATATATATATATATATATATTCTACTAAATATATTACTGGGAAAACACATGGCTTTGTAAAGCTGTGTAAATGATGACGGATTTTTCATTTTTTTATGAACTGTTTCTTCTGTTTATTATTAGGATACCATTCATTTCAAAATATCTAATTTTGTCACAGGAAAAATTGCAAAATCACTTGACAACAGCCTTAGCAGACATGCAATTTTAAATATTATTATCAACAAAGACTACAACAATCACATGTCTAAACAGACAGCCAACGCAGCAATTTAGCCATGACAGGCTGTTTATTTACTCATATCGCTACTGTGTCCATTAATGAAAACCTGAAATTTGTGTCAGGGGCCTTTAATTTTCTTTGAGACTATTTTTTTTGTGTGTAATTTTGTAATTGCTTGTCACTCGTTTTCTTGCATGCATCTTGACATGTTGTGTGATTCAGAATTAGGAGAACGATGCGTTTTGTGCTTGTTCGTTTGCTCTGCAGCTAATTGTAATGTCACATCTTGTGTTGTGTTACAAGATTGGACTCTTGTGCCACTTTTGATTTAACCGATGGCTGACGTGTCATGCTGGTTGATGGATAATATGTGGTATTCCGTGTTCAAAAAGAAAGAGGAACAGTCGCCAGTGGTGGGAAAAGGGCATAAAGGCGGAATCATTGACCTATTTGTGCCGCTCCTTTTGCTCCTCTAATTAATAGGTGTGTGAAATGGCATTCACAACCCATTTTACCTAATGTAATGTGATGTATTTCTTAGTGAAACAGGATGTTCAATGAGGAAAAATGTAGGGCAGGACTTTATTTTATTCATCAGGAATAGACTGGATTGTGAAAATGGGTACCATAATGAAGCCAGGTGGTTGAAAGGAGTTGAAAAATAAGAGAAACTGGTCACAAGGTGCAAGAGAAAATAAAATTACTAATTTTATATGTTCTTAGCTTAGCCACAATGTGCTGAAATGTTGTTAGCTTAACAGCATTCTGACACTTCGTTTGCTTCCCTTATGGAAAAAACAAACAAAAAAAACTTGGATTTATTATAGTAAAAGTGTAGTAACCATGTTTTGTGGCGTACTGATTACCATTTGTATAACCCCAGTTTTACTACAAATACCATGGTTAAACTAGGGTTAGTGTAGCAAAACCATGGTTAATTTGTGGTTACCCTGGTTTAACTATAGTAACCATGTTTATTTTTTTATTATTTTTTATTTTTTTGTAGGAAAACCATGGTTATTTTTGTAAGGGTTAGCAACATATTAATGATGTCTTCAAGCACACCTGAAAAACCCATACCTCCAACTCGGGTGTTTGATATTACAAAATCACACATTCAAGTCGGAAACAACATAGTAGTAGCCTAAGCAAAACAAAATAACTTTATCATGAACAATAAACACAAAAAAATAACTGAATTCAAATTATAGAAAATATTGATTTCTATCACTTATTTACACATGTAAATAATAATAGATTTGCCGACATGTTGTTGACTAGGGCTGGGTTTTGACACAAATTTCACAATTCGATTCGATTCTCATTCACAAGCTTGTGATTCGATTACCGATTCGATTCAGTATCGATTATTTTGGATACATATCAGGTACAGTACATGCCAAATTTTCTCAAGGAAAAAAATATCTCAACTAATGCTGTAAAATATACACGAGAGTCAGTTGGTACTGCATTGCTATAATATTGAAGGTTAAAATTGACTGATTTGTGCTCTACAACTGCTTAACTTAATGAACTGCACTTAATTAAGTTTTTATAAAGTTACAATGACTTCAGTTAGTTTTTTTAAATATACACATTTAAATAGTGGCTGTCATAAAAACTTGGACAGATTTATTCAAACATAAATAAAACATTAAAGAACGGTAAAAAAAGTATAATGAATGTTATATGGTGCATATATTTAGGAAAATGCTCCTCTCTACAGTTTATTTTTCTGGCTGACTATCGAGTTTATGGTCACCAAATATGCTTTCGGAGGTAAATGTGACGTTACGTGACATATTGTTTACAAGCCGTAATATTGACGTCTTTGTGCGGCTGAAACACTGATTGAGCGATTACATGAGACAGGATAAGGATTGTAAACTTGTACTCTTTCTTTTAACTTACCTTCGGATGTTTGTCACATTTATTTTGTGCTGAAACTGGTATTAATGTGGAGGAGATTATCAGTTCACGTGCGCCTCGCGCTGCCACGTCTGTTGAACTGAGGCGCTACAGCGATCTGTCCCCTCCTGCCCATGAAATACAAACACTCTGACCTGTCCACAAACACTTCTGCTAGTTAGTGTGTTTACATCAAGTCGAGAAGACACTGTATTCTGCGTGGTGAAAGCAAGTTTGTTTTGTTTTCATTGCCAAAAGATGATGATGTGAAGACATCACGTAAAGTACCACATACAAAGTTTAAACTTATCACTGAGAAACGTCCTGATCAAGTTGTGCTTGCAATGGAGCTTCCGGTTAAGCGACTGCATCGGTATCATCCTCGGACTCGGGCTCGAATTGATAATGCAATATCGATGCCATTTTTGTAAGCTTATAGCATCTTTGTTTGCAAGCAATCCTCTGGGTGTTTCATTTTCGACACGCATTGTATACGGAAAGACCAATCACAACAGACTTGGCCTGCTGACCAATCAGAGCAAAGTAGACTTATGGAAGGGAGGAGTTTACCGACCTTAAGCCCAGAACTGCTTCAAACGAATCGTTTTCGAAATCATTGAAAAATGATTCTAATATTAAATGTATAGGCCTATTCTGAGAAAATGACAATGTTTTCTGATCTTAGATGCATTTAAACTTGTTGTAGAGCACTCCAACACAATATTAGGACACTTTATAATACCATATGGCCTGCTCTTTAACATGTTGTTAGTTTGGGAGAAACAAGCATTGTTAGCTGACCAATTTGGTACTTATAATTTTATTTAATTTATTTATGAGGCATGAACTTCCATATGCTTCAGTTATTTTTTGATAGAGAGATGTAGTGGAACTTCAATCCCAACAAGATGCAATTGTGTGCACAGCTAACCTCAATTTTAAACAATGTCCTGGCAGACACACCATAAGTCGGGCAGGTTCATCCGTCCTCAGCCTGAAGCAAAATTAATTCTGATCGTTCTTGGTTCTGATGATGTCAGCCGCAACTCCTTTGTGTCTCTCTACACCCTTAGCCTAATAAAAAGATCACAGCTTTATTCTCTTATATCAAATACTAATGCTGAAATGTGCTGCATTTCATCTCTTTGTCTTTCATATAGTGTAATATGACTTTTTTCAAGGTCTCCATGGCCTCCATTCAGATATAACATGGCTCTGGGGAGTTGCTGTATTGTATCAAAGTTAACATTTTCGGTGTTATTTTCCAGTCAATATATCTAGAAATTCTTAAAATACTTGAGAATCTCTGCTTAAGAATCAAAATTAAGATAATAAGACTTGTTTTCAGAGAATATAAATTAATGATTCATTTATCTTTCTAACCCCACTGACATAAATACTTATTTTTCCTGAAGATGCAAGGAAAAATACTGAGCTTCTTAAGCAGAAATTTAACAATTCTTATTCCTAAGACTGATAATTTCCATACTTCCCGGCACAAATTCACCAACTTTACCTCTAACTTTTGACCCGCCATCAAGCATTAACCTAATTACACTCGAATCAATGGATGCATTACTGAGTGAATACATAGCAATTACACCTCAATTACTGGAGAAGCCAGTTTCCATCTGCGTATAGTGATGGACAAATTTCTAATTGGTACAAATAGAGACATAATGTGGGGTGTGACCTGTAGCCACAACCTTTATCCAAGTTGTTTGATGCCAGAATGCGGGCAACTCTTTTCCCGACAGCGGGGAGTGATCAACTGCTTCAAAGATTTCCCAAAATACTTTGTAATTACTCATCAGTCTCTAGAAGTTTTAATCAGACTGCCATGTCACAGTTAATTGCAGCGTTTTTGCGTCAGTATATTTAATTCCCTGAGGCCGAGACGGAGTTTCTCAACAAAACCTCTAATTTGAGGTTCTAATTGGTCCTTAAGGTGGTGAGTTAATATTTCAAGTGTGCTAAGCTG